ATTAAGATATATAAATATTACAAATTACATAAATATATATCATTACATTATATAAATTAAAAATTAAAGTAAACTTATACCTGCACAATTACAATAAAAAATTATGTAAACTTGGAATGTAATTATAGCTAAATTAGATATATAAATTTTATGATTAATATAATCGAAAATAAATATAAATAACAAATTTTACATCAAAAGAAAATTAATAAATAAACAATTTATTTTTCTAATTTTAGATTTTAACTTTGATCATTTACTACAAAACAAGAAAAAGAAAAATAAAATAGTAGATATAAAACAAATTCCCCAAAACATGAAAAACAATAAATAAACAATTTGTTTTACCCATTTTAGATTCTTACTTTCATCATTTCCTACAAATAAAAAAGAGAGTTGTAATAGAACAGAAAGAGGGGCAAAAAACAAAAAAAAAAAAAAGAAAAAGAATTGATTTGAGGATTTAGGTAGAGCTGTGCCTTAAATAGGTAGCAACTATACAGATTGTAAATGGTTTGAAATAAAAATTTCAAATTTTTGCACATGGAAACTTTTTTTTTTTTAATTTTTGGGAAAATTTTGGCAATTAAGTATTTAGGACCAGTATTGGTTTGGACATATCGAAAAATTTCAATTCCACATTTAAATTTTTTGGGTAAAAAAGCGACAAACATATACGAACAAAAAATGGTTTGAATATTGGCGAAGATAAGATTGCTACGTTCCATTGCCCAAACATGGGTAGATAAAAGTTCAATAATCTATAGGGATTGAAGCCGGTCTGAAAAGTTATTCAGACCAATTTTGGGTTGAATAATATGACCAAAACCGATCACCTAGCCTAACGGTTCAAATTGTGCCTCCTTTTGGGATGTTAGCTCGGTAAGCGGTATAGACTAGGATCTTTAATAAACAGAATCGTATTATAGGAAATGAGTCATGACCTTAAATGCAAAATGGAAAAGTAAAAGACGAGGTGAAAGTTCTAGAAGTTTATGCTTGATAGGGAGCGAAACCAGTCTGAAATAGTTATCTAGATCGATTTCAATTTGAATAATAGTACCAAAACTAGTTTCCTTATCGAACGGCTTAAACTGTGTCTCAATATGCTGTCATTGCCTCGAATCCCACTCTTGAATGCAATACAAGTTAAACAAAGAAAACAAATGTATTGGAGAAGTGAAGTTTTGGATTGGATCATTTTTTGTCACTTAAATTTTTACAGTTCGATTCTGGTCACCTTCCTTAAAAACTTGACTTCCTCACTATGTGTAACATACATATAACATAATAAAGAAACTACGTTAATAATTTTGACAAATCCTTTCAGATTTTCATGAAATTGCACAAAATCTTCTCTAAAATTTGAACTACCACAATGTTAAAAACAAATATACAATACAAAACACCATTTTTTATAAGACAAATATCATAATTCAATTAAATTAAATTTGTCAATAACCAAATCAAAATTTTGTATTTAGTAAAATTTAAAACTTATAATAATTTTAATTAATTCATGATGAATACTTAAAAATTCTATAGACTCCTTTAAAACCTAGACTTCTTCTCTGTTAACAATAAACACAATATATACAACTTGATCTAGGTAATTATATATTATGCTATTTTCAACCAAATGAAAGCTATTACGAACCCAGATCAGTAATTTATACTTAGTAATATTAAAACTTACATTAATTTCAATTAATTCATTGGATGTTTCTAAAAATTTAGCAGAATCTCTCTTAAAAACTAAACTTCCTCCTTGTTAACAACAAATTAACGCACAATATATACAACTTGATCTCGATAACTATAAATAGCACTATTTCAACCAAATTAAATATGTTATTAATTAAGATCAAAATTTTGCATATAATAAAATTAAAAAATGACATTAATTTCCATTAGTTCACAAGGCATTTCTAAAAACTTAACAGAGTCTTCCTCAAAAACTAGTTCCTCCCTATTAGTAATAAACATGCAATATACACACCTCCGTTCCAAATAATTGCAAACAATACTATTCCAACTAAATTAAACTGATTACTAACCAACATAAAATTTATATTTTAAGCATCAACATTGTAGGTCATGTGTAGAATCTCCGCACAAACTTTTATGGTCAGGAAAACAAGAAAATTAGCCTCTTGTCCCGCTTGTGTAAAGATTCTCTACACATACTTTTTCAGACCATTTTTAGTCTGGAAAACAATAAGTGTGCAAAAATTGTTTGCCCTCCAAACTGTTTACCATCTGGAAAATCTTGGGTAAGTCAGACTTGAATTTGATTAAATCTTTTTTTTTTTTCTAGACCACTAACAGTCTGAAAAAGGTTCAACAATATTATATTTATTCCTTTTATTCTTTTTGGTGCATTACTGCTTTGGAGCTGATATACACATTGTTGACGATTTGAAATATGTTGACGTGTTTTTGTTTATTTTGCGCCTTTTTTATTCAGACCATTAACGATCTGAAAAAATAAATTCCCAATTCTCTTTCTATTGATTCCAGTCATTATTTTGGCAGACTAAGTTCGGATTGATATATTTGCTTTTTAGACTATTTGTTGACGGTCTGGATAATGTATTTTTCTAGTAGTGAATGGAGCCTCAGCAATGTATCTGAAAATATGAATGAATGAAATATCATATCCCCTTAAAAAAAAATATCATTTAATGGCTAAATTATTAATCACTAAATTATTATTTTTCATTACAAGCTAAAACTAATGATAAAATTTAAATCGTTAATAAAATCTTTATCACTTATACTCTTAATGATAAATTTGGCACCTATCATAGAAAATAATTTTATAGTGATAAAAAAATCGTCATTATTAATGAGTTATGAGTTATTTGTAACAATTTTACTTGTCCTAAAAAACACTTTTGTCTCAACAATTTTTATCACAAAAGTTATAATTGAGTGACAAAAAAAACTCACAAATGTAATTGAGTATCTGTAATGAAAAATTTAATAATCAATTATTAAAACTGAAACTGATCTTGAATTAAAAGGAATGTTTATATAATTACAACGCATACTATAACAAAATAATCCGTCACTAAAAAAATTGATACACATCAATATAATCAAATTTATCACAAAAGCTTAATGAAAAAGATTGCTTAATCTTGATTAAAATTAATCACACTTGAGCTAAGTTCAAGGTTTATTAAGCTTCATTTTGTAGCACTCAAATAAATAAAATTGAGCACAAGTGTCAATCAATTAATTTCCAAATAGCCACTAGTTTTATAGTGCACAACCTTATTTTCTTATATATATTTTTTTTATTGATGTGAGATGTATTAATAAAAGAAAACTTAAATAAGGTTGTACATTTTCTAGAAATATAGAATGACTATAAGACACAAGAAATGCATGGTGCAGTAACTTGCAATTGTTTACCTTTTATAAGTTGCTAATTCATTTTAGAAGGAATCTAATTTCATAAATTTTTTTATCAACCAAAAGAATACTAATTTTTGAAAAAAAGTATAAAGATACTCTAACCATTATTAACATACATACTCCCAACTCACTTAGTTGTAATCAATTCTTAGTATACTTAATATTCATTCAACAACTGACAATGCAATAATACAATTTTCATAAGATCAAAAGAATTGGGCTTTTAATTCTATCATCATTCACAAAAAATTAAATTAACACTATAATATACATCCTGAACACATTATCTAATTAAAGAGTATTGAACCAATTACATGATTGAAAAAAAATCATAATTGAAAAGAAATTTCAAATTTTCCTTTTAGCCAATAAAATGATCTTACTTGAGCTAACTTAATATATCATTAGCTTAATATATCATTAGGTAAACTTAAAGATTACGTCATTTCTACTAAGCCATATAGGCTATGTGGTGAGAAATCAAGTTGTGTTTCTAACTTCTTCTTTTTTTTATATATATGTTACATATTTTTATTTTAGATTAATAGATATACAACTGAAAGCTTCTTTTACTTTACTCTAATTTCATTATTTCCCTTCTCCACCACAACACAAGCGGGGCTGCTTATGCTTAGAATTTTACCAAGTAACAAATTCTTAACGCATGGTATCGATACCTGTAGAAGTAGTGTCAACA